ACACTGGGCTCACTCTCCCCCCGCACCAGGCATGCCCTGATCCCCACATTGGGCTAAGTCCCGCTCGGGTTCACCAGCTGCTTTGCTGCTGATCGCCAACAGGAACGCCAGGTTTCGCCACCTCTCACAAGGCTTTGGCCCCAACTGCTGCTTCACCACTGACAGCCACCTCCACTGAGTCATAGAGAGTCATAGAGCTGTACAGCACAGAAACAGACCCTTCGGTCCAACTCGTCCATGCCGACCAGATATCCTAAATTTATCCAGTCCCATTTGCCAGCATTTGGCCCATATCACTCTAAACCCTTCCTATTCCTGTACCCATCCAGATGCCTTTTAAATGTCATAATTTTACTATCCTTCACCACTTCCTCTGGCAGCTCATTCCATACATGCACCACCCTCTGCATGAAAAAGTTACCCCGCATGTCCCTTTTAAATCTCTCCCCTCTCACCTTAAACCTATGCTCTCTCGTTATGAACTTCCCTACCCTGGGGGAAAGACCTTGTCTATTTACCCTGTCCATGCCCCTCATGATTCTATAAACCTCTGTAAAGTCACTCCTCAGCCTCCAACGCTCCAGGGAAAATAGCCCCAGCCTATTCAGGCCCTCCCTATAGCTCAAACCCTCCAATCCCAGCAACATCTTTGTAAATCTTTTCCGAACTCTTTCAAGTTTCACAACATCCCTCCTGTACCAGCAAGACCAGAACTGAACACAGTATTCCACAAGTAGCCTAACCAATGAATTGCTTCCTGTCGGGGAGAGAGTCCTACGTTCTAACCACTTTCTGGATAAAGAATTAGCTTAAGAATTCCTTGTCAATTTATTTGTATATTTGTGGCATCTAGTTCTGGTCTCCACCACAGGCAGAAGTATTGTTGTTAAATACGCTGTGCTGAATTTTAAAAGCCTCTGTCGGGTCAATCCTTCAGCTCTCTTCCAGAGGTAAAGGCTCCAACCCATTCAGCCTTTCTCGGTGGGCATTGCCTCTCAGCTGTCCTCTGGTCACTCCTGTGATTCCACAATTTGACAGCACTTACTGAACAATCTTGAAGAGATGCGCTATGACTTACAGTAACAACCAGTTTGCTCGCAAACTGACAAAGTTGTCCTGACTTCCCCTTGCTAGAAGTTACATATAGCTGTAAAGAGGGACCTGCCCTCTTCGGGAAAAGGAATGTGTCCAAGTATTATACATTTTAGAAATTAAACAAAAGCATAAGGAGCAATAATTCCCTGGTGCATTTTCATGGCAACACCTTCATCAATCTGGGTGAATTTACCAAACTGTCAGCCTCTTTTGTCATGCAGGGTAAATTGTTCTTCCCTTTGGAATTTGACATTCTTGCATCTGTCCTGATGAGTGCAAGTGTATCTTTTTGCAGCAATGAGTTCTGTATGAAGTGACTATTCTTTCTTTATAGAAAGGAGATGGAAGTCTGGATTTTAGTTTGTAGACAGGACAACACAGGCATTAGGTGATGCTGTAAAATCCCATGTAATTGAAATAGGCCAGGGTGGCATGGTGGCACAGCGGTTAGCACTGCTGCCTCACAGAACCAGAGACCTGGGTTTGTTTCCAGCCTTGGGCAAGGGTCTGTGTGAAATTTGCATATTCTCCCTGTGTCTGTGTTGGTTTGGTCTCAGTGCTCCAGTTTTCTCCCACA